TCAGAAGGATTTTCTAGGTCTCATTGATTTAAATCTCATGATTTAAAAGTCTCATTATACTTACAGTTTATGCTGATTTTTCTCAGTATTAAACAGACTCTCTAACATACAGGCCATGAGACTACTGAAGGACTCAAGTGTTACCCCAGGATTTGAGGTCTGAGTAACTGAGTGAATGATGCCACCACTCTAGAGATTGAGGAGATGTCAAAGGGAACCCACATACACACCCTCCCATGGGGGGAGGTATTCAGAAAAGAGCTGGAGATAGAAATTCGATATTCAGGATTATGTGGGAGTTAGGCTGTGAGGGCAGCTATATTGGGGACTCTTTGAGTTAGAGAGTGAGTGTAATTAAGGGAGAGAGAAGGTCATAGGAAAGTGGCTCCAAGGTCATGCCAACATTTAGAGTTGGAAAGAATGGGAAGAAGAGGTTAAAAAAAAAAGGCAAAGGAGAGAAAAATGAGGAAAGCCAGAAGAAAGTCACAGATGCTGAGGGAAGAAAGCTGTTCCAGGATGGAGGGATCCTTCACATCAGTCACCGCTAAGGATTTGCGATGTTGAGGACTGAGAATTAGCCATTTGCTTTAATGGCATGGAAGCTTGTGATGGCTGTGACCAGGGTGACTTCATCAGTGGGGTGTGGACACAAACTAGATTGGATATAGCTAGGATTCATTTCTACCTTCTAGAATGTATGTGCTGTAAATTATGTATTTAGATAGAAATACCATCAGGAGGTGACATTCAGGTAGGTTAATAAAAATGTGGAAAAACAGAGTGGTCACATTCCCTTGACATATAAGCCTTAGTCACTGAGATACAAGATTTGAGGGTGGGCTTCTGTGATGTGTACAGCCCGAGAGGGAAGAGTCCTTTTGAATTAGATGCTAATATAAGAGATTTTCCTAAACAACATGAGAACAAAATATATTATTATGACTGTATCTCTTGTAAGTATCCGTAGTCTTAATATTTAGTTCAGTGCCAATTTTAGTTCAAGAAGACCATAACTTCCACTTTACATCTACTTATGGAATGTTCAATTGGGCTTAAATAAGTGCTTAATCTCCCATTAAGGCCCCTAGAGCTAATTCATTTTATTGCATCTTCTGGGTTAAGGTAGGGGGAAAAATGTTGGGTGATAATCTTCCATCATCCTCTGTTCAAGTTATGACTTGGCTCTGCATTAGATGCGCCCCCCTGTCAAGTTACATAAGTCTTCTAAGACTATGTTCTCAAAGATAAAATGTGAACAATAATGATATGAGGATGAATTAAGAAGAAATGTCTAAGTTACTTAGCATGGTGCCAGGCATATATAGTAAGGGCTGAGTAAATGGGAGTAACTTGGCATCACTATGATCACCATCTTGTCCTTGAATGAAGAATAACTGAATAGTGTACAATTTAGTGAACAGAAAATAGATCTATTATAATAAAGAACAGGAAAATGAGGTTCCAAAGAGTAAGCCATACCTTATAACCATGGTTTCAGGTTCATCTGACTCTTTGTTGTTTCACCTTTAGTGAAGTTGTGTAAGCATAGTATGAAGGCTGCAAGCCCTGTAGGGCACATTTGTAGTCTCTGCCCCCCCTGGAATTAGCTGGATGTTCCAGGTCCATCTTCCCATCCTTTCTAATACAATCAGTACTTCTATTATCTATCGTGCATTGACTGCTTCCGGGACACTCAGCACCGTTCTGAACATTTTATAACTATTGACTGATGAGGTTTAACTCACAGCCATAGGAGGTAGGTTACCATTACTACCTGCATTGGACAGATGAGGAAACTGAGGCACGGCGGAGTTAAGTAACTTTGCCTAAAGACGACAGCATTCGTAAATGGTAGATCTAGGATTCAATCCCAGGCCGGCTGGTCACATAGTTTTCATTCTTAACTACTTCATCTTAATGCCACTTAGGGTGATGGGATTATATTTAAGTTGTCCTAATTTTTCTGCAGTGCAGATTATAGAGGTGGGACCAGTATCCTACCCCAGCATTCATCATCATGTGGTTGACAATTTGTGGTAGGGATTTAGGTTTCACATCCCACCTCTAGCCACCAGGAGGTGATATTCAGGTAGGTTAATAAAAATATGAAAAACACTATAAGTCTTTGTCATTAAGATACAAGATTTGAGGGTGATATTCTTTGGTGTTTACAGCCAGAGAAGGAAGAGTCATTTTTTAATTAAGACTTCTAAAAAGTTCTCACATGCTTAGCAAGAAAGCTAAATTAAGCCCTGTGTTGGATAAAAGTATAAACATGCTCTCTGCTCCAGATGAGTAAGTGCGTATAAATAGGACAATTGATACACATGGCCTTAACAGTATAGCTCCCTTGTTTTCTATGTGATGTAAATCACCAAATGTGAGTATTTCCATCTGACATAAATCGTCAGTCTCAGAAGAGCACATTGCAGGATTCAGTACATGTTATACAACAACCAGGATTGCCCTTTTCTTCAACATAGTGTGTTTTTTCTTTTCCACATCCAGCAGTTAGTACTAAGGCCTGAAACCCTTAGTTACAGAACAAAGTGGCTTAGCAGTAATGGAGCCTGTGTGAGGCTAAGGGAAGAATAATGAACATTCCCTGCAAGCTTCCTGCCTGGATGCAGGTGCAGGAATCAGGAGGTCATGAATAATGCATGACATGCAGATTAGGTGGTGGTTTCTCCTACTGGGGTTTTGACTTTGCTACCTGCCTGGTTGCTATTTGGAGAAACAAGGCAGAAGAAGAAGATGGCAAAAAGTGTCACAGTTTAAAGACAGAGCTCACAAAAATACCACATGTCCTTTTAGAAGAAATAAAATTTGGGATGTCGGGTGTAGCTGAAGTACAGGCCTTAGTATGGTCGACTTTATTGCGTGAAGTAAGCTCCAGATTATCAATCTGTTCCTTTGAGAAGGAAAATAAAGCTTTCCTGGTTTCCCCCTTTAATTTAAGGAACTGTATAATTAATTATTTGGTTATGTACACACAATCAGGACTTCTTTTCCAAGATCTTCTACGGAATTCTTTTTCTAAAACTGCTAAGCCGTTATAGAAAAAACTTACAGAATTAAATCTATGGGTGAATGAAGTTTTCCTAAAAGATACAAGTACTTAGAGAATATTATAATGATGGATTTAAAAGGCCAGTTTTTCTCCACTGGCATGTGTAATAAACAGTATTAAGAAAAGAATTTATCTTACATTAAACTTCACCTGGTGGAATTATCATTATGAAATCGTCTCTTTGGACTGTTAGGGTTAAGGAGAGGCCAATAAAAGGTAAGTGTGTTTAAAGGCTATAGAGTAGATTAAAGAACTGTGAGTATTTGGGGCTGGTTACTCCTTGAAACTTTATTTATACAGCTAGGACTCTGGTGTCCCCCAGAGGGTACGGTGAAAGTTTCAGCAGACTTCCTGCATTCCCCTTAGGTCAAGGGGGCTTTAACTGGGGGTACATTTTTTAGCTCAAATGTCGATTTTGAGGACTGTATTTCAAGCAGACAGAAAAAAAAAAGGAGAAAAAGCAGGGGAAAATTAGTCTTGCTACCTTCTGTATAATTCTCATGCATCTTTATTGCATTTTTTCTCTCTGTCCAATTTGGGGCACTGGAATACAAGCTAGCTCTCCTTTCTAGCTGAGTCTGTCATTTCCGTTAGGCCCCAGTCTGGCAGGACGCCAAGACCAACAGGTGATCCTTGTAGCTGCAAAACAGCAGGAAGTGGGCTGTGCCTGAATGAGACAGTTCACCAGAGGGGCTGTCTGGACGCTCTCCATCTTTCTGCATAATTAACACCCCTCCCCCATGCCGAGCAGAAAATCTGTGCTGAGCAGCTCAGCTGCAGCAGCCATTGAGAAGCGCTGTGAGGAAAAGAATGTTAATAAGGGATGCTGGAAGAAATCAGCCTGCCTGGTGCAAAGCGCAGTCTGGCTCCGGGTTTAGGGAAAGACTGCAGTTGGCCTGGGGCAGGGCTGGACCTGGATCATCTGCTATGGAATGATTTTCACTGGCTGAGTAACTATGGAGACGGCAAGTTCTGATGAACCCTGGACCTGCTAGTTCTAACGGGACTTTAAGACCAGTTTTAAATCCCTATTTTTTTTTTTAATTTCTCTTCTTGCAAATACAGGTAACATGAAGTATAAACAGTAAAGGTTACAGAAGTTTGAAGACTAGCTGGGTCTCATAAAGCCTGGTAAAGAGAGATAGACCAACACAGGAGCGTGACCGCAGGAAATGGGAAAGAGGGTGTGTTGTCCTGCCAGGTCGCGATCCACGAAGAGATAGAGGTTTAGGACCAGTTTCTGATGGGCAGAGACTGGCAGTCCCTGGAAGCTGTGGACACTCTTCAGTGCTTCGTTCTGTTTCTGAAGCAAAGCAATATGTTCTTCCCTTCCCTTACCTGGTCAGCGTTTCGAAGTGACCTTGCCTTCCCCAGAGCTCAGCTGTACAGCATGGTTCCCGGCCTGCCCCACCCATTCCCACAGATGCTGTCCCTGAACACCTGGATAAATTTGTCTTGGTCTCTAAGGTTTTAAATCTAAAAGTTGACAGGAGCCGGCATTTAGACTGTTTCTTTGTAAACCCACCTCCTGGTGGGAGCAGGCACAAAGGTGTGGTCAGGGTACCACACCTTACATAACTTTCACCCCCTCTCTACCCAGCAAGGATTGGGTATTGGGCACCTTTTTGTTGGACTGAGTGTACCAGTCGGTAAAAAACAGTCATCCTGCTTCTGGGGGTCTGCAGAGCGACCACTGTAACACACTCTTGGTATCTGGAAGATCTGGAAGGTAGTTAAGAGGGAAAAAAAAGAAGAAGAAAACCCTACAGATTTGCAGGTATGGGAATTTAATTGCATTACTTACTAAGAGGTGATAAAGTTCTTGGGGATTTTAAGCAAATCTGAAAGGGAATATTTGTAAGACCTACCATTGTTTTTCATTTGTAATTGGTGTTATGCTTTCTCAATAATTCCTTTACTCTGTCCACAGGGTACATCCATCCCCAGTATCAAGGGTCCGAGGAAATCGAATGAATAATCAAAAGTTTGCTTGGTGAGTATACAGTCTATGAGTATTGTAAATCTTATGGGAAGCGCTAATAGAGTGTGCATTAAAATCAAGACAATCCTGCTCCTTTATAGAAAATATGTTTCTCTGAACTAGAGTATGTAGTGTCCTTTTCCTCTGCAAAGTTCTAAAACGTATTAATGGAACCCTTGCAGCCCAAACTCTTCACTCACCAGAAACTCTTGAGCACACCATTTTTTCCTACCAGAAATGATCTAATTTCTCAGGATTAGAAGCTCTCACCTTTTTGAAAAAGGTTTTCATTTTTTTCCCAAGATATTGACCAGATTTTTCTCAGGTACCAGCTTCAACTTCACATAAAGATTTTCATCAATAATTTCCCTATTATATTAACTTTGATGATTACTATTTCAATGTTGTTTTACTGGCCTTGGCCTTAAATATCCAGGATTTTTTTTTTAAATTCAGAGAATACTAAGATCTTCTTTAACTGACTAGTTCTTGAACAAAAATATAGATGGAACTTAGCAGAAACAACCTGAAAAGTTATTTTAACCACAAGACATTGATTATTGAGTCTTAGAGATGCAACTGATATGTTTCACAAGTGTTTCATGTGAAACAAAAAATCAATTAATATAGATTCAAAATATGTGTTTATTTATACTACTCCATTTCATAAAATAAATTTTCAACACATAACATATCATTAAAAAAAGAATGAGATTGGTGGGACCACACCTATGGTGCATCTTACAAGGGCACATGTGAATCTTTCTAAATGTAGAATATAAATGTCTTAACACAATAACTAAGAACATGACATGAAGGCCATGTTAACCAGTTTGATGAAAGTATTTCAGATTGTCTATAGAACCAGCACACAGTACCCCAGGACTGCATTAATGTACACAGCTATGATTTAATTTAAAAAAAAAAAAAAAGGAATGAACAGAAAAGAAAGAAATGGAACTGTGGCGATATTTTTTCAAAGACAAATAAAAATTCATAAATCTTCATTTTACTTCATTGAATTGTGCTTAGAATGGGACTTTGATTAAAAACTATGGCTTTTTTTTTTTTTTGAGTATGGGAAGATGATTACCAAAGATTGAGCTTCCAAATTAATTTTATTCCTACATCAGGATTATTTTTAGACACAAAATAATGACACTTTGAATTTGCATAGTGCCTAATCAGCTTGCCTCCCTTTCCCCTTTAAATCTAATTAACCCTCACAATAGCTTGGCGATGTTGTTAAATATTATGCTTTTCTTTTTCACAGAGGGGAAATGGAGCGCAGAGGATGCAGTCCTTTGCTTACACACTGCCGAAAGCTGGGGCATCATTCCTGCTCTCTCACAATTGCTAAAGCATAATATCTCCTGGCAAACTGGGAAGGCTAAGGGAATAATAATGCTGATGGTCATTACATAAAAGGAGAGAAAGGAATCAGGTTCATTCTTGACCGCATGGAATTTATATTCCTTCTCATTACAAGGCATATTGTACTAAAGACACTTCATTACCTCTAGAGAATGTGAGATGCTCAAATGAGCAACCCGAGCTAATGGATAAAGTACAAAATTGTCAGTTTCCTGATCCAGCTTCTACAACTTAGTTCTCAATGGCCCCGAGTGCAACAGTGAGTAAAGAACACGTTTTCTTTACTTTTCCTTTCAAAGTATTGGAGTAATGATCCCTTGTTCCTACATAATTCATTAGCCTGTTATTTGGTTAGTAAGTTTAAACTGCTTTTATCTCCAGAGAAGTAACCCGTGAAAAACAAAAATTATTTTTCCTACTAGCCTTGAGAAAATTCAACTTGTATTCATTCGGCAACATTTATTTACGGTCCCAGGCACTGTAAAAGCACTAGATTAGAAAGATAAATAAAACATGATTTCAGTCCTGAAGGGGCTGTCATGTAGGGGAAATTTATGTGTGTGTGTGTAGGTAACATCGCACACACACATATATATTATGTGGTATCACACAAATACACATATAGTATATGATACAACGTGGATAACACTTTAAGGAGATGCATTTGTAGTCCAGTGTCCTGAGAGAGTAGTTATTAACTCTGTTAAGAGCAGTCTGAGAGTGGATAGAAGACAAAATATGAAGGAAGGCAGAACGCTGTCAGAAAGTTCATCCCTGAGAAGAAGGCTTGAGAGGAAAGACCTCAAATTAGTAGGAAAAGCAGGTTTGAGCTGTCGCTTCCTTTATGGATTGAAGCATTCTGCAAAGACCTGGAGACATTTCTAAATTGACTGTAGTTAGGCACGTACGTGGATTTAATACGTGGACTTTATTCAGTCATGACTTAGCTAAAATTTCTATGATATATGCTACCTTGAATCTTCCTTTGGTAAATACTGGGAATAAATATAGACTGGTATATGGAAATAAATCACCCCGCTAGGGAGCAGCCCCATGAATCACCCAGCATCTACTTCTAGTGAAGTGATAAATAACTGTTATTTCTTTGTGAAATATGGTCTCTGAAAATTCAGGAAATTTAAATACTCCCGCTCGCAGTGACAAAGAAGGGAAAGTGATGGTTGCTCTCTGCGAAATAGAAGTTGGGGATAATTTATAGGATTCAATGTCAAGTTCAGCTCTGGCTGGGCTCTCTGGCTTGAGTGAGATCCAAAAACACTGCAGGTGACAATTAGGGAATGGTGATCTTGTGTAGCCGGCTTAGCAAATACTCCAGTCTGTTACAAAACGTTGTTCATCACCTAAGCAAATAAAGTGCAGTAGACGCTGAAGAGGCTTGATCGTAAACTGTTGAGGTGTGGAGAGGCAGTGACGACGGCAGGTGGACCGTGCAGGTCTGTGGCTGTGGTCGAGCTGCCAGTCAGTGGTTTTTATGGAATACAAATGGTTTAAACTTTTAAATAGAATCTTTCTTTGCCTAATGGTGATATGAAAGGTAGCATGCTATCCGACGGCCGCCTTCACGTGGCAGTACTTCCTCTGGCGCTGAAGAAATACGTGGAAAAGAATGTCTGTTCAAGGCGAACAAAATCTGCTGGAATCTAAAGAAAGTGTGATAACAACGTGGGTGTCGAGGGAGGAGGTGAGAACGCCCAGGATTAATGACAGGTGTTAGGATGGAGCCAGGTTTGCTGGGACTATCTGCTAACTCCAAGGGATTAAAGAATGGCAATGGAAGCATCTTGCAGGATTTATAAGCACCCCAATAAAGAATATCAGATCACTGTACAACTTACTTAATACTGAATTAGTCAAAGGTAAGGAGCCAGGCCTGACAAAAACTCTGTCTATCAGAATGCCTCTCCCTAAGTTCCACCACTCTAGAGGAATATTTGCTGACGTGAGGATGGAGGAAGCCTTTGGGGGTCAGCTGTGTGAATTTTTCTGTTTCACACATCAATCTTTCTTCTTCCCTTCACCATTGCCTTCCTTTGTCCACTCGTAAGTGTAGGGGCAGGAACATCTCTTTTCCTTCTATCCATTTTAAGAGTAATGTCTGGCCCTGTAAATCAGACTAATAAAAGACAGATTAACAAAGACGAATGAACAGAAGTCCATTAACACGTGCATCTACGTACACACAGGAGTACCCAGAGATGAGTTACTCAGAGGGGTGGGTAGGATTGGAGTTACATAGCATCTTAACAAAAGAACAGTGATGGTTTAGAGAAATGACCAAGGGAAAAGGACTCTGAGCTTTTAGGAACAGCAAATGATGGGACGATAAATACGAGGAGGAAATTATGGGGGGTAAGGAGTAATTAGACTATTGTGCCGATTCCTCTTGGGGTTGATAAAGAGAATTGTCCTTGTCTAAGAATTGTCCTGACTTTCCTGATGGAAAGGGAGAGGGCAGAGAGATTTTCTTGTGTCTGCTTCTTTTCGATTGCCTTCAGCTCATAATAATTTTTATGTCATTATAGCATGCTTTGGAGGGGCAGATTCCGCTACCCTTCACTGTGTAAACATTTTTTAGAGAATTTGCCACTCTTCTTTGCATACAGTGATGCCAGGAAAAAAATTTTTTTTTCTCCATTTGGAGCAAAGGAGAAACTCCCCACTTCTTATTAGGGAGTCAGATATAAAAATAGTTTTATTCCTTACAAATCTTTTTGTTTGAAGCTATTATATTCTGATGTCAACTCCACAGGAGAGTGACTGTTACCAAGTCATACTCAGCTGTTTCATTCTCAGCAGATATAACAGAAATCTGGAGATGACGTGTAGACCAGACCAGGACAGGGAGAGGCTTGGGGAGCAGTATCTGGGAACTGAACACTGAAGTAAGAGCCCAGAATTTTCCAGGGTCCCTATAAGGCTTCTGAAGATATGTGCCTTTGAATATGCTTACTTTTTATGCTTTCTTCTCTCCTCCCTACTTTCTCTCCACCCTGCTCCATTTTTGAAGTTTTAAAGTACCTTGGCGTATGTTGTTGGCTGATGGTGGTGGTAGTGGTTATGACGTGTACCTAGGACCATCCCTCAAGGGCTTTTGTGTAACAGGGATACTGGTTGTCACATAATAGAAACTTTTATGAATGTATTTATATGATAACACAGGAAATAAAGCACTATTAATAGAAATTGTCATCAGTAAAATAGAAGTAATTTTCTCTAACCAATTGTTGCTGCCATCGCCAGTCTCAATTATGATTTATTTCTTACCAGCAAGCCTGAGATTTTATGTAGCTATACACACAAAAAAGCTGCAGTGTTAGTGGAGTCTCCATGCAAATTGTGATGCATCCTAGGTGTGAATCACATTTCTCACTTGGCTGTGAAAATGTTCTGTGGCACAAATTTTTGTAGAGGGCAGGAAGAGTGTTTTCTCACACCAGTGTTTCCCTGTTGGATGTATACAATGCCACCGTGAACTTCGACATTCGTATGCGTACAGTTGCAAATGTTAGGCATGATTTCGTGGAGTCTTTTGAGGGACATAACTCGGAGGGTGTTTGTCATAAAACTAAGAACATTCCTTCCTGTTTAAAGCTGTTTTCCTTAATGGAGGAAGGCCC